GTTCAACTATCGACTAGAACTAGACCAATACCTGTAAACTCATTTAACTTATGAGCTAATAATTTAGACTTGCAGGCGAGGGGGGGGGGTGATTGGAAGGGGAGGTTTCCACAGAAAACTGACTTTTCAGAAAATTTCAAAAAGTGAAATATTTCAGCCAAAAACCAAAAATATTTTGATTTGGAAATGCTTCTGAGGTGCCTCATACTCCCATTCTCCTCTATAGGCTAGACTCCCTCGTTGGACTACATCTCCAATGATGCACCATGGTCTCCCACCTTGGTGAGGGTAGGCAGTGCATCCGAGGAGTCCTGGGCCATGGTGCATCGAGAGAAAGACAGTCTTGGCGACACTTCTCAGGTACAAATGATATTGGGGGAATGAGGCACCTGAACTACAACTCCCATGAGGCATACGGCAGCATAGCCAAAATGAAATATTTTGTTTTTTTAAATAAATATTTGAAACTTTCTGCAGAAAGCAGACACTGTTCATTTCACTTTTCAAAAAATGTATTGAAACCCCAATTTTCCATTTAAAAAAGTTTTGATGCAAAACTTTTGACCAACCCTAAAACGAATGCACTTTTGAGCCTGTTAAAAAAATCCTAGTCTAAATCATTGCACATTTTGACATCCTCAGTCAGTAATGACTTAGTGTATATTAAAATATTTATTACATTGGCTGAAATGACTTATCTGGAATAAACTTGGCTGCCTCTTCAAATTCCTAAATGTTCCATAAAAAGCACAAGTTCACCACAGACTAAATCCTCTCTTAAGCAGACAATGGTCCCCAATGACATACGGACTGGAAAGTCATTCCTGTAGGGGCAAAAGGATCAGCTGTCCCAGAGTCTTAGAGAAAAGACTGACAGGTAAGTGACCTCTTTCTTGCATCTGGATCCAGTCATTCTTAACAGATGGGAAGCAGTCAGCAGTTAAGTGAAGAGTTAGGCTGGGAAGTGTCAGAAGAGGGAGAACTGGGAAGACAGGAATTATGAGGTTACTTCAGTGCGGATTGCCTTTTGCCTAAGGATGCTGTTGCACATGGATGCTGGTGGATCCAGTTTAAAATGCCTTGTGAAAGCGTGGAAACACAGTCTGGTGGCAGCTTTGCCAATCATGGTAGCTGAGACTTAGAACTTCGCCACCCACAAAATAACAACAGATCTTATTGAGTTCACACTTGGTTCCTTGGAGATGCACAAAGTGTTTTTATTTTGTAGGCGTCATCAAGTACTTTTGTTTTTATCTTCCATGCTATGATGTCTGCGGGGTTTCTTCTTTCGATATCATGGGTGATAGGCTACAAATAGCAAGTTGGTCTTCTGGAAAGATTCCTACTCTTTCAACTAGATCTTGCATGACACTTGGAACCTGCTTATAGAATGAGTACTAAAACTGACCTATTGCTCCAGCCTAGAAGTGCAGTGGGCTTGCAGTAATGTGGTTTGAAATCAGGCTGAGATAAACCATTGCAGTGGGGGTTTGCACTGGTGTGTAGCTATATTGGTGCAAACACTCTCAGCACAGACAAGCCCTAAGACTATGCCACCATTTTCTTTCTCTTGTTGTCACTTTGGCCAGTATGATGTGAGTCCTATGCCCTGAGATCTCTGCAAACTCAAATTACAATGTAATCAGCGAGCCAAGAACCACTGTGTCTTTGGATGGGTACATTACTGATCCTCAACAGACAGTTACTTGGAGTCTTGCCATGCCCCTTTTCCTAGATCACAACTACCGTGAGAGCAAGTTAAATGGACTCTTGGCAAGTGACTGCAAGACCAGAATCAGGCACCAGGCAGCACACGTTAATCTTTTAGTTGCCTCCAAGTTTCCTGGTACTTTCTGAAAGCTTTCATTTAGTATCTGTAGTGAGCTGGAACCTACGAGTCCTGAACAGGCTGGAGTGGAAACATTCTCCTGCCCGGATGCTGTGGCCATCACAGATAATCCATCTTTCCTGTTTTAGCTGTTCTTCCTTGGGACTAGGAATGGTAAATTCTCCTTTCTATCCAGGAGGAAAGATGAGCTTTGCCTTAGGAGCAGGAACAGGCCTTTTGTTTCTTCTACTCCATGATACTGAGCATGGCCACCTGGCTTGCAGTGCTCAGGTAGAGTCAAAGCACTGTGCCACGTGCGGGAAAGGACAGCAAGGCGAAATCAGGTAAAAAGGGGACAGTTCAAAATCAGAAAAAAGATGAAAATTTGGAGAGTTGAGCTGCAGTGCGCTGCCTGCAGAGGCAGAACATTCTGGAACAGGAAGTAGATGGGTGGGCCTTGTAAACATCCTTGTGCCAGTAACTGATAGCTCTAGCTGCCTCTACATGGTTAGTGAAGGCACCCACCGCCTTTTGTGCAGCATTGCTGAACCCAAATTGGGCAAGCTGCTAGGCACACATTGTTCTCTGCCTATGATAGTTGTTTTGTTTGTGTTCTCATGCAGCTGAAAGCTTTACTGTGTGTGTTAAGTTTGTATTAGGGCAAATAGGGCAAAAACATACATGCACATCATTCAAATCTTGACCAGCTAATCTTATAAAACATAGAGGAATCGATTTATTTAGGAATGGGACAAGTGGAGAGGGGGATGGGATAGGAGGGAGGGTCTTTTGCTCTTTGGCCAGGACAGGAAACACTGATTTAAAAATGCCTTGAAGAAAAACGTTGTGAGGCAGAAAACTAGGACAAAACTTTCAAACCTGGGTGCCTAAAGTTTGATTTTTATCATCCATTTTTAGGCAGTTGGCTACAAATGGCTTAACATTCAGAAGAGCTAAGTACCCACAAATCTCGTGGAAGTCAATGGGAGCTATAGTATGGTTGAGTGGAGAGGGTCCTGGACTGGGATGTGGGAGACCTGGACTCTGCCACTGCCCTGCTGGGAGACCTTGGGGAAGTCACTTTGCCTCTCTGTGCCTCAGTTTCCCCAGCTGTAAAATGGGGGTAGTGATACTGTGACCTCCTTTGTAAAGTGCTTTGGAATCTACAGATGACACACGTTATGTAAGAGTTAGGTGCTATATTCTATTATTAATGGCAGAGCTAGGAATAATCAGCTGTGTGACCCTGAGCAAGTCATCTTCACTTTTCTGTACCTGTTTCTTCTTCCACTGATTATCTGTCTTGCCTATTTAGATTGCAATCTCTTCTGGGCAGGTGCTCTCTCTTCCTAGGTGTTTGTACAGTACAGTGCACAAAGGGGCCCTGATCTCTAGGTGCTACTCTGTGTAATACAAGTAATTACAACATGGTGTGCTCAGCAGCTTTGGAAATCAGGCCACTTCTATTGAGTGCCTAAAAATGGAGTTAGGAGCTGACAATTGTCCCTAACCTTTTAAAATAACTGGGGTGGTTGTTGTTTTTGATAGCTTACGGGCAGATTTTTCAAAGGCACCCAATGACTTTCGGTGGGAGTTGGATGCCTAACTCTCCTTTGTGCCTTTGCAAATCCGTCCCTTAATGGATAACTCTATGCACTGACACAACAGGTGAGACCCCACAGCACCTCACGTTAGTTGGGGTTGGGAGCAATATTCAGTCTGTGGGGGAAGGGAAAAGAAATGTATTCTGCCTGTAGCAATTGAGAGTAGATAATTACAGACCAGCATTGCCATCTTGGAGACTGCTTGCCTAGGGTGCAGGTAGTGACTGTAGCTGCTCCGTTGTGGGTAGGATTATAAAGAGGGGCTGGGAGAGATAGCAAAAGGAAATATGCTCCTAATATTATTCCCACTCATCCAGGCAAAGATAATTTACTTACAGTTTTCAACAGTTTTTGAAACTGTAATAAAAAGAGAAGCACAGTGATGGTTCAGGTCCTTGATCAAAGTTGAGAAGGGTCTTGGCTTTTCTCTCCTATATCCTCTCTTAAAAACTACATTTTGAGACCATAATTAGGGGCTCAGGTTTGCAAAGATGTTTAAGGGAGTTGGATGCTACCTACTTTAGGCCTCTTTGAAATCCCAGCTTAGCGTTTTTTGGGGGGGATTTTCAAAGGCACAAATGGTAGTTAACAGTCTAAGTCAGTTGTGGTTAGTCACCTAACTGCCACTTGTGCGTATGCAAATCCTCCCTCTCCCCCACCGTGTTGGGAAATGATCTTTCCCTGTCCTGGTGTGCAACACTAGGAAGAAGTTTCTTTAAGGTGGACATTTAGCATCTACAGAACAATCATCACTTTATTAAACATGTTTGGGGGTTCAGAAAGGACTTTCCGAAATAAAGGGATGTGAAAGAACCTCAGGACGCCAACCATTTCATCTAAATCTCCTCTTGAGTCACTCCTGTTGCTTTGGGAAGGGAAAGCTTTTCTTTGAAAACAGCTTTCAGAGGATTGGTAATCAAAGGAAAATCCTGAAACCATCCTGCTGTGAAAACATAATTCCTAAATGGCTATAACATGATAACTATTCCCAATGTCCTAACTGAGTTTTTAATTAGCTCTTGCTCAGGCAGACCTTCCAGTAGGCCTGATTTCTCATCTCACACCAGTGTAAAACAGTTGCAACTCCAAAGAATGTAACTCTAGCGACTCTTGAGTTACACCTGTGTGAGGGCAAATCAGATCTAGTGAGAGATTTGCCTGAGTAAGGACCTCAAGATTTGGCCACTAGTGCATCTCTTGAGGGGGAAGGAGGGAAGGCTGTTTATAACTGCCATACGTTTGGAAAAAATGGAACAAATGTAGTCAAGTTGAACATGAATATTTATTTGTAATAAAAACAAATTTCCAGCATAAAACAATTATAATGTACAGAGTAGATAAACAGGCACTCACATGATCACTCATAAATACATCAGGTAAAAGAAGAAATAAATCAACTGAACAGCACTGACAGCTAACCAATGTGGTTAACTCATTAAGTCAATAGAAAAGCAAAATGTCCTTTTCTGCTGTGGCAGTTAAAACACATACGCAACCATTATGACAGGTCAACAGGTAATTTGGTCTGCCCCATTCAAGAGGAAACACACAGGTACTCTCAGATAAGAGCTCTTCACATTTATGTCAGGCTAAAATTGTATCTGGTCCACCATGTTGGATGATAAAGGCAATGTCAAATCTACGCAGCTCCTCACATGCCCATCCTTATACTCTGAATGATCTGAAAGATAGCTGAAACAAGGCAAAAAGAGAGGCTGTTCAAATGCTGGTTAACTTTCCTGAAATTCAATCCTGTACTCTGATACTGCTGCTTTAAACAGCTGAATGGCTCCTGTTCTCACATGCATGATTAGATGTTATCTAGCAAGTGCTTCGATCAGTGGACTTCTTTTGAATAGCGGCCTACTCCCCCCACTGATGCAAAAAGGATTATGCAGGTACCGTCTAGGAATGCTAATGGAAGTACCATGCGTAAATCCTCGGGCGCTGATGAGGGATTAGACCCCTTCGACTAGAGTGTGTGCAGCGGCGCTGCCAGGCACAGCTGCGTACACTTAACAAGTTGGTGGGTCTCTTTCTTGGGAACAATCACTTCTTGTTACAGGCTGTTTATAAAACGGCTCCTTATAAGTAGGTAGACCAGTAACAGGAATACAACCTCTCACAAATCTGGCCTACTTTAATTATTGCTAAAGCTTATTTGTAGGGTTGGGCCATCTAAACTCCTGTATTATTCCATACCGTGGGCTCAATCCTGCAAAAATGCACTCATGTGAGGAGCTGCATGAAAGTTGATGGGATGATTTTTGGGAGTAAAGTTTTGCCGGATGGGGCACTGTCATCTCAAGCCTGCAAACAGATCAGTTCCAGTGGACCCATGCAGAGCCCCCCGTATGTGTGTCTCCCACAAAGACTCACAGGACTGGGGCCTATGTTTGCAGCCCACAAACAAGAGCAGTGTTGACTACTGTTTACTAGCCGTTAGGGATGCAAATCTCAAATCAGAAGATAGTCTTCAAAATGGGACAGTTCACCAGAACTGGCTAAATGGAAATGAGGTACCTGGCATTGGCTGCTGTCGGAAGACAGGATACTGGGCTAGATGGACCTTTGGTCTGACCCAATATGGCCATTCTTATGAGGCCGATTCTGCCATCACGGTTGAAACAGAAATCTCTATTGGTATCAGAATTGATGGCACAAACTGGTACTATACCTCCACAGAGAAAAAGACCCGAGCATTGAGTAACTGTATTTCCTGTCCTTTAGTATAGTTAATACACGAATTACTAAGGACTTGATTCTGCAGACCTCATGCAAGCAAAACTCCCACTGATTTCACGGGACGTTCAATACGTTGAAAGGCTGCAGGATCGAGCCTTAGTTCTTAATTATACAAACAGGACATAAGTTCTCTTCATCTGTACCGTCACTGCCTCCTAATTCCCCAGCTCTGGAACGGCATCCGTCTGCTGGAACCAGTGAGCGCAAGTGCAGGAGTCAGGCTGTGCTGACGCAGCTGCAGATGCTGAGCACGTCCCGTGAAAAGACACGTGCCCTGGAAATGTATTTTCATAGAGCTCCCTCGTCTGTTGCCCTTTTAGAGCTTTGAGGTGTGTGTTTGGAAAACTTACGAAAAATTGAGAAAAAAATTGTTTCCTTTTAAACTAAGAAGGTAAAAGGCATAAGATCGGGAAGCGTCACTTTGATTGCTGAGCTGCAGTAATCGATGCCGAGTCTCTGCCCTCATCCTGCAGACGCTTGAGAAGTTCCACTGAAGTCAATGAGGGCATGGCTACATCGTAGCTGGGACGGTGCTTCCCAGTGGGGCTAGCCAGACACGCATTCGCTCGGCTTGAGCTAGTACGCTATAAATAGCAGTGTGGCCACAGCAGCACAGGAGGCGGCTCCGGCCAGCCACTCATGTAAGTACCCAAGGGGCTGGGCAAGTAGCCCAAGCTGCCACCTTAGCCACACTGCTATTTTTAGTGTGCTAGTAGGTGTCTGTCGACCCACCCTGGGAAGCACGTTTCCAGCCGGTTTACAGACGTACTCCATGGTTAAGGACTCCCTCTACAAGGGTTTGCAGAGTCAGGCCTTCATTTTGGACACAAGGCCAAACCCATTTTTTTTTTTAAGGTAATACTTAAAATAATGGCCAACTTCAGGGGACAGATGTTCTGCTGGTGTATGTAAGTCAAGGAAGTGATGCCAAATTCCAGCAGCTGAGGATCTGGCCCTCGAACTCTCTTATCTGTCTATCATAGAGCTTTTTACTGCCACTTATCACGCTGTTATCTGAGCACCTTCAGTGGAAAATCAATAGCAATAGCGAAGTCCACAGTGGATTTCATGGAGCCTCTGGCGGTTCTTTTGGGTGGAAACTCTGCTTGGGGTAGGGTTTGTGGTTTTGATTTTGTAGGTGTTTTTAATACATGATTTTGTTTGTTTCGTATTTTGTTCTGTAAGTGCTTTTATAATTCACTTCTCTGAGGTTTATTTTTCTTGCTTAAATAAACAGGATTCCTCAATCGAATGGGATTTGCCCTGCAGTCCAGCCTCTTGCAATATTATACTAAATTGAATCACAAGTCGATTAGGCTATGGAGCAGCAAAACTAGTGAAAATCACCTGCTTCTGTCACCCTGTCGGGCCCAGTTTGTCTGACCCATTGTATTGTAGAAAGCTACTGTTTTTTGCAACAGGGTCTGTAAAAACCAAACTCCACAGAGCATCTAGCTCTGCCTGTAAACCAGTGAGTGAATCTGTTTAATAACATCTGATTCCGAAGTGCAGCAAGGAACAGGAAGACGGTGGAGTTGCTGAGGAAGTTCAAAGAGAGAGAGAGAAAGGAAGTGGGGAGTCTAGACTCTGAGAAGTTAATAACTTAATGGTGGGAGAGCAGAGCTGAGAGAATAACAGTGCCAGTGAGTGTATGGCTGAGTAAGAGAAACGGGGGAGACAGAAAGGAAGGCACTAAAAGGAGACAATATTCAACATGGACATTAGAGCCCAGAAAGGAGGCCTGTTAGTAACTAACAGATCCAAAGGATTATTAATAAGCGGAGTAAGTTCTATTGGTTGCATAGCAGCATCTCAAGTATTAAAAATACAAGGATAGCTTAGTAGGCATGAAGCAGGGGCGTTAAAATGGTCTTGAGGTCCTGGGTGCTCTGACATTGTGACAGTGCGACTGCTTTGTGTTGGGAGACCAAGGGTGGCATTTGTAATTGTGCGACTAGTCAGGGGCCTTCAAAAGGATTTGAGGATCCTCAGCACCTTGCTGGATTCAATCCCCAACTCTAAAAGGCAGAAACTTTCACTACATGTTCATGCTGCAAACCTTGCAGAAATAAGGAAGCTGGCAGAATAAAATGAGTTGCAGTCGGAACAGGCAGCAGGGTAGAGGAAAGACAAACATAAAAACCCATCTAGGCTGAAGAGCTGGACACAGGAAGATGTGAAATTGAAGGAAGTGTGTATAGGAAATGAAAAGGAGGGCGAGTTGAGTAGGTCCAAGCTAGCCACAGAGGAGCATAAAAGGAACAAACCAGCAAAATGAAATTGTGTTAGCTCTAGGGAGGAAGAGAATTAGTCACAAAGAATAAAGAATCTAGAAATACAATCAGAAAAGTGAGGGGTCAAAGAGAGAGGAGAGAAGGACCAGTGAAAACAAGTCAGCTCTCTAACCTAGCTGGAAAGCTTCATTTATCTTGTATTGGAATAAATCACTATGGGTGCTCAGTTTTCAACTCGTTATAATAAAAATGGGACAACCTCCTATAGGATTCAGGGAAATTAGAGACAATTGCTGGAGATGCCAGGAGCAGAGAGTAACAAAGAGTTGGTGCTAGAGTGCCGGATGGAGCAAGGTATCTATAACCGTGGACACGATGCCCCTGATGATCCTAAAAGAAGTTGCAAAGGAAATCTTGCAAGCTCTCAGTCTCTTCAGTAAACGCTGTAGGTCAGGAGAGGTGCCTGTAAAAAGGGCAAAGGGAGTAGGAAGTAACAAGAAGAATATGCACTGGCCAATTAGCTTGACAGTTGTTCTAGGCAAACTCTCTGAACATACAAAATAAGAGTCAATGTAAACATTTGGGAGAAAGACATCTCTACACCAACATGGGTTTGTTAAAATAGATCACTCCACACAATTACCTTTCTTTGCTCTCTTTACTGATTTAGTTAATAAATGGATGGATTTACCAAACAACTCCAGTTCAGGTAAATTCACTTACATCCCCCAATGATGTACAGATCCTGTACCACGCCATTAGAATCTCAGCTGGCCTTGGAAACCAGACAGCTTTCACAACAATAATACTTCATGCTCACATGGTTACTTTCATTCTAGGGTCTCAAAGCACTTTGCAATCCTTAATTAATGTTACCTCACATCGCCTCGGAGTGGTGAGCATTATATCCTTTATACAGATGAGTGAACATAGGCGCAGTAAGGTTAAGTGAGTTGCCCAAGTTCAGACAGTGAATCAGTGGCAGAGCTGAAAATAGTAGCTTGGCTTTTGGGTGTCTGGGACCTTCATCTTAATAAGATTTTTCTTATACCAGTATATTTTAATTCTACTATAGTGACTAATACCAAGAAGATACAAATACCAAATTGTGGATTAGAAATTGACTGAGGATCTGAGGAACAAAGATATTGTAAATGGCAAGTTCTCTGTATGTGGTGTCACAGGCACATACTAGGACCCAGATTATTTAATACATTAATTAGTAATCTAAAGGAAGATGTAAATTCAACCGTGCTCAAACTGTTGACAATCTCAACCTTGCAGGATGAGCCAGTTACACAGAAGGATAAGAATCATTTTGTAGAGTGGGCTGCATGCAATGAGATGAAATCAAATACGAAAGCCATTCACCTAGGAAGAGGAAGTAAGCAGCACTGATATAAACTGGAGGACAGCTATCTGGGAAACAGGATGTCTGCAAAGACCAAGGGGTGATAGTAATATAGCAAGCGAAATATTAGGTTCAAGTGCAACATCACTGCAAAACAAGCAAACGGAACAGAAACCATTGCTGGTCTTAAATACATAAATAGGCTCACATGTATAAACTAGAGAGATAATAGGGCCAGACCATGTAGCAGACCTGAAATATTGTGTTTCTTTCCAGTCCTCAACATTTAGGAAGTAGATACAAACACAACACAAAGGACACAAGGATCGGGTTTATAACCTACGGGGAGAGAGAGAGGGAACTAATTGGGCATGTTCTGGAAAAGAGAAGACTAGGGGAGGGCTGGGAGAAAACATGATCACAGTTTTATAAATACCTTCAAGGTAATAACAGAAATGAAGAAAGGGAATTATTCCATTCTCAGAAGATGGTAGATAAGGAGCAATGGTCTGAAGCTAAGGAAGGAAAAAAGTTCAGGTTAGACATTAAGAAAAAGTTCTCAACAGTAACAGCCATTGGGGTGGAGGCTACCAATGGAGGTGACTGGATAGTGGATAAGACATTTGCAGGAATTAAGTGGAGACTAGTCCTGCAAAATGTAGGGATCACACTACACGATCCAAGTGGTCTTCTCTGGCTTTAATATCTGTAAATCTTAGCTACATAAGCTAGGAATTCCCTTCCTCATGCAGCAATAACCCTGAAAAACCTTTTCCAAAATGCCACCCTCTCAAAACTGAGGTCCACATTGCAAATGGAATGGTAGCCGTGCATGTACTTCATCCAGTGGCACAATCTGGCCTTTGATTTGCATGGTGCAAAGAGATGTGCGATGGGGGCAGGTACCATGTTGTTTGTTACATGGTTGTACTGTGCCTGGCACCCTGGGGATGGGGCCCACAAAGCAAATAATAATTAAAAGGGTTACAGCAAAAGCTGTGTGCGATTGTAATAGCCCAGAAGAACAGCCCTGAAAATGTTTGTGGAAAAAGGAGGCATTTGTCTAATGGATTCACTACTGAAAGAACAAACATAGCCATAGCCAATACATTACTGAAGACTAAAGTCTGATCAAGCTCTAAAAATGACCAAGATAAACATCTAAGCCACATTATTACGATGTCTCTTCAGATAATGAAACCAGTTCAGTGGTTCTCACTCAGGCAAAACTCCCATTTCAGTCACTGATTGGTTAGCATGAGTAAAGAATGCAGGGTTGAATTCCAGATCACAAAATGTTCGTTCTTGGCAATCAACTGGATGTACTCTCCGTCATTTAGCACCAGCATATTTATTTATCTTCTCTGCATCTCCCATGTTCAGCTGTTTAACATACTTATTTTTAGAAAATAAAACTAAGATTTTGATTTTGTTTTATTGACTTATTTTCAATTACATTTTTAAAAAAATCACTCGTTTTTTGTCACTTTTCTTAGAGTTTTTGTTGTTGTGAGGTCTGGGGTAGGGGCTGCATGTGTGCTGTTTGGCCATCACTGCCGAGTACAGTGGAGCCCTCCCCCGCAACAGAAATAATAACTAACTACGGAGCTGCACTTTGACCCTGCTCTTTCTTTCTGCCAGAGCATGTTTGAAACCACTTGATGTCTTGTCATGGGAAGGAACTATTATTTCTTGAGACACTGACATCACAACTGATGTGTCTAAAAAGCACCGTCGTCTTTATTCTTAGTTAGAGGCCACGAGAGGGAAAAAATAAACATGAAAGTTCACAGGACACCAAAGACATGTAATGGAGTTGGGAGCTGCACGCTATCTGAAGGCCCAAGAGTTTGCAGCAGTCTAATGCTATGCTCTACATGATTATTAGCTTTAGCAATACATAACTATAGGGACAACCCTCATTCACCAAAAACTCCCAACTGACTTTGGTGGGAGGGAGAGATTTGAGTGCATAAGGAATGAGGCATCAGAAGGACACATCTAGCTGCAATGGGCCGTGGTGGATTTACCATAACTACCATTTGTTTTTGGGGGGAGTTGAAATCCTGCTTTAAGACTAGGTGAAAAAATAGGAACAGAAAGTTCTCAAAAATGGCATTCATTAAGTCAGACATCAACACAAAGGCCTCTGCATTGCATTTCTGAAAGCAATGCAATACCAATGGACTACTCATTACTCCAGGGTGGGTCTACCTATGACCAGTTCCATATTGGGGCTCTTAAAAAAATTACTATCAAACACACGTCAATTCTTGTGAAAGATCTTAGATTGACAACCTGGGGAAAGAAACTCCTCTGGGTACAAAACAAAGGAAGTGGAATCATATGCTCCCGCACACTACTGAATCTTAACTTGGCTCTGGAAGGTAGTTAAATCTCTCCCATTCAGTGCCCTCTTCTCTGACTCTGCCAATAAGTGTGCCACCTGCAGCCAAACTGTAATGCAGATTTTGTGATTTGGACACCTGTCTGCTAGGAACTGGACTGCTGTAAAGAACTCATTTTGTTTGGGCCATTGAATATATTTCGCATTCATCACATGGTAACACTATTACCATCCCAGCCCAGGTTCAAACCTGCAGCCTAAAGGTGAAAGAAAAATTAATAGGACATGGAACCTGAGCCATCCAGTCCCACATAGAAACGAAACTCCAGTTTTAGACTGAAAGTGGAAAAAACTTTCCTCTTAAGATGCATTTGTTCTAAGCAAGACTATATAATTATCATTCATTGCTTAAGATTTGAGAGGAAAAATATATTAAACCACTTGCAATCTCCAGAAACTTTTCCTAAATGCTCATGTAAGTTTCTCTGGGACAGATCCAGAGCCGCACTGTATGCTAAGCATCAAATTCTATTAATAAATACACACGCAGAGGTTCCCATTGGCTGCAGTGGAAGTTGTGTGCATGCGTCCTGGGTCAGAATTTTGTCCACAAACTTTTAGGGTCTGATCTCACTCCCATTGAAGTAAATGGGAACCATGCCACTGACTTCAGTGGGAGCTGGATCAGGCTCTTAAATGCTTTTCTACTGTCAGCTCAACTCCCTCCCCCGCCCCTTCTTTATCTATTCTCAGTGGTGTGTTCATACCTGATCCACAGACAACAAAAACAAACAGTGCCAGTAGCCATGGTCCTACAGGATATTTCTCCTCTTGGGGCCTCTAAAATGTGGGGGGAAAAGAAGATTTCAGTTTGTTACCAGTTTAACCAATTGTCTTGGTAGCTCATTTAAAAATAGATGCAGAAAATCAAGATAAAGAACTGGCGTGGTTTCAGCTTCAAACCTCAAACAGTGAACATACTCAAAAGGTCTAAGGTAAAACAGTTTACACCATTGTCATAACTGCTTCACAGGAATGCTAAGAAGCTGAAAGGAAAAGCTGAAGCACAATATGCTAACGGAAGAGTAATAGAGGATAATTGTATTTACAGTAGATCAGACAGCTTAATTCAACATTATTGAAATCTCCCGTTTCCCCCCCTTTAAACAGAATAATGCCTCTCACAGATTCTCTGCAGATCAGTTGTCTTGAATTTCTCTAAGGAAAGATAAAGTGAGTTTTATTCTTCAATGTTTGCTTATCTATTTCTGTCCTCTCCCCTCCCACAGTTGGGCTGTTTAGTAGTCTCCCTTGTTGTATCTATATTTTAAGTTCTTTGAGACACAAAACATGTTCTTAGGTATTTTCTGAGATACCTAATAGATGTGGGATGCTTGAAAAATAATTATGTTCCCTGACTGGGTTGTCACTTTAGAACAAAATATATATCCTACAGCCAATTCCCATCCACTGGGAGAGGAAATTGTTAAAAACAATATCAAAGGACACTCATTTTTTTATTTTATTTTGGTCAGCATGTGCCAAAAATATCCTTAAGTTAAATATACATTTGATAAACAGTCGGAACTGTTTAACTGCATCTGAAGAAGTGAGTTTTTTACCCACGAAAGCTTATGCCCAAATAAATCTGTTGGTCTTTAAGGTGCCACCGGACTCCTTGTTGTTTTTGTGGATACAGACTAACACGGCTACCCCGATAGCAGTCGGAGCTCTAGTCAGTTTATTTTAAGGACGCCTGACTGAATGTTCTAACAGGTCACTTGGAAGGGGAGAGGAAGGAAGGAAGGAAGAAAGTTGATGGTCTTCTATGGCCATTTTGAACTGCTGACTTCTGTTTTGATGTATGATTATTGTTTGGAGCCTAGAGCACTAGATAGAGGCTTTTATAACTAAGAATAAATACAAACATGTTAACTGTAAGATTCCAAGGACCACACAGAGGGAAGAGGTGGATAGATGGACTTAGAAGCTTCTTACCAACCAAGACATGAGCAGATGGTTATATGATGACATGAGATACTATGGACATAATCAATGGAAGTAGAGGATTCACACAGCACTAAGATCAGGACTGGGCAGGCAAGTAAAGGAGGAATTGATAGTCATATCTGGGTTCAGGCTGTGGAATTGTGCATACAGGAAGGATGGTTGTGTGATGCTCGCGGTCACTGGAGATCTGGTTCAATTCCAAGCTCTGACACTGACATCTTGGGTGACTTTGGGTAAGTCACTTAATTTCACTGTGCCTTAGTTCTCCATCTGCAAAATGGCGACAATAATACTTGCTTTCTCCCAACCGTTGTCAGTTTAGACTGTAAGTATTTTGGCACAAAGACTGTCTATTACTATGTGTTTCTACAGTGCCTAGCTCAAAGGGACTCTGGTCTTGGTTGAGGCCCCTAGGGGGTACTATGCTACAAATATGAATAATAATGGGTCTGCAGTCCTGATCCAAAACAGCTTGATTTCTAGAAAGCTAGAGCTGCTGCTACTATCTAATTCTAGAAGCGCTGTGTGGAAGAAGTGCCAAGTGAGTGGAGGCTGAAGGCAGAAGAGTGGCCAATGGAAGGAGAATGGCAAAAGATGGGGTGAGAGGAGAGAAGTAAGCAGACTGGGAGGGAGAAGGGGGAAAAAGAGAGAGAAGGAAGGGAAAGGATAGCAAAAAGGTCAGAAACAAAGAAGAGTGAGAGGAGAAAAAAAAGGGATGACAGAAAAGAGGAAGGTAGCATTATCCAGTGTATAGGGCACCAGACTGCACATCAGAAGACTTGGGTTCTATCCCTGGTTCTTCTACTGACATGCCCTCTTAACGTGGGTGTGTCATACCACCTCTCTGTGTCTCCGTTTCCCCCATCTATTTAAACAGTGCTGCTAATGCTTTTTAAAGCACTTCAAAATCTCTGGGCAAAAAGTGCTACATATGGGCTTAATTCTCCATCATTCATCAGTGGGATTTTTTCCATTGACTTGAATGGGGTGCAGGATCAAACCCTAAGTGCTCCGTATTATCAGAAACAGGAGAGGCATCGAAATAATAAAAGAAAGTCACAGACAATTTGTTTCACCAGAGATAAGGTCTGTTGTTAGTCACAGACACTTCATTCAGAGAAGCTGCTTCACACATCAGTGAGTGGTAAGAACAATAGAGAAAAGCAGTCACGTGACTTGTGGTAAAGAAAAAACAAAGGCATGTCCCTTACTTTTGGCCATTGGCAGGGCACTGCCCCACAGCATAGCATTTTTAAATCAACTTTAAAACATTTTAATTTAAAATGCATTTATTTTTTTAAAAATAACTCGACCTGTTGTGTTAAGGATTTGAAAACATCAGCAGTTTTAATGTATTTTTAAAGAGCATTTCATGTTACCTTTAAGGTGATTCAACCAGGTTAATGCTAGATTAGAGGCCAAAGCTAATTGAATAGAAATCCCGTTTTCTAGGCTAGCTCAGTCACTCAGGAGTCTGGGATGGGGGAGTTTTAGGAGATTAGCGTAGACCAAGCCCAAATCAGACTTATTTCAGTATAACTACGATGCTCAAAGGTGTAGAAAATCTACACCTCTGAGCGACACGGTTATACCAACCTAACCCCTTGTGTAGACAGTGAGCACTATGTTGACAGGAGGGCTACTCCCATTGACATAGCTACTACCTCTCGGGGAGGTGGAGTACCTACGCCAATGGGAGAAGTTCTCCCGTCGGCATAGGTAGCATCTTCACTAAGCCCCACCGTGGCGCCGTTGCAGCCTTACAGTTTACACTTACAGGTGTAGACAAGCCCTATGTGTCGAGAGCTTCTTGGCAAAGCAAAAATCCCAACTATGAATTTCCAGCAGTTCCCTGACATTATAGTAACAGGCTTCTCTTTGAAACAGTTCACTCTTGGTGTGGAGGAGAGCTCTGAAAGGATAGTGAGCTATTAATAAACACTCAAGGGTTTGTGGGTGGAATTAGAATAGCATGAGCTCTAAACAACTTTGAGGAAAGGGCAGCTAGAGCTCAAATGAAAATCTCTCCCATTAACCAGCTTTCTAAGAGCACTTTTGAACACTGAATTTAAGCAGCTGAAATGTCAGTAGCTCAGCCCAGTCCACTGCTAATAACCAAATGCATGCATCTGAGCACAGTTAAGCTCTTCGATTTTCTATCTCAGCGTATACAACTGGAGCATAAGTGCCACCTTTATTTAAAGTAATACGCAAGATTTCGTTAGCTGGAAGGCTATTGCCTCATCCGGTGTGAGGGCTGTTGTCCCAGCTGAGCTGCCAGCTCAGTAAGGGCTCCATTTTATTCCCACTGTACCTGAGGGCAGAAGTGAGCCCTAAAAGATGAAATGGGATCACATCTGAGTTATCTCTTTTGTATTGACATAGGCTTTGTATTGATTAGGAAAAGTGGCCAAGTTTAGGTTGCACTTAGCTAACCTGTAGTAAACTGATCTAAACTCAATTACTTTTCCTCATCAAGACAAAGCCATAAAGACCAACTAGCCAAACAGCTCATTCATATAAAATAGCAAAGAAAAAAGAGATACAGAGGCCTAAAAGCCTTTCATCTACGAAAACACATTTTACAATTAGTAAAGTCAAATAAACTGTTATGTTTTAATCTCTTAAAAAACAGATGCCACAGGAAATAAAACACAATAACTCCCACTAGTGCTGTCCCTGTTAGAGAGCTAGACCCCTTTGGGAGTACACCTCCATGCGTGTGCACTTCCAACAGCTGTAATGTTGCAGCAGCCAGCCCTGCTGGATATTGTTGCATGTTAGTCCCCCTAGATGGGGATGGATGTGTTGTGTGTGCTGCATTCTCTCTTCTCAAGTGGCTGGTGTATGTGTGTATTTTTCTTTGTGTTACAGACTCTCCCACTTCTGGGTGTTTAGATGGAAGGTGTGTGTGTGTCAGTTTCTTCCTCGCCTGGTGAACGATTTTGCTGTGTTTTTTTCATGAGACACTGACACTCTCAGTCATCGAGGTGTGACATTTCCTCCAGTCTGCCTCAGCTTGGGACAGGATTTAACCATCTGATTGTTCTACACCCCTAGTTAGGCTGGAGCATTTACTCCCGTCAGCAGCACAAGAAGGATCATCCTGTTTCCCACCCCGGGGCTCCTGTAGCCTGTTAACCCTTTAGCTCATGATTCCCACACCTCCCTACGTGTTGAGCCGAGGAATGGGCAGAGAGAAGCCTTGCCTCCTCGCAATCCCCTCTGCCCCCTCCTCCCATGTCACCTTACCAGGGTTTTGGCTACGTTCCCTCTCTGTGTGATGTTTTTGCTGTGCTTTTCGTTAGCCATCCGGATCCGCTGTTTGGCCACCATCGCTCTGGGGTGGAGATTTAGGGAGCTCAGAAATTCCGGAGGCCACCTGGCTTCTGGGTCTGGTTTGTGACGAGCCAGCAGAACACCCCCTTAAAGAACACCCCCCTGACTTGGAGCAAGCGTGGCTGCTACTGCCCTGAGACCCGGTGCTGGTTCCTCAGTACCCCCAGCCGGCTGCAGACTGAGGAGAGGGTGGCTGGCAGGATGGATGGACGGAAGTAATCTCTCATCTCAGGAAACCCTCTCTTGCTTCCTCCTACCCTTCCGGTCCCCCTGCTGCCTAAACACAGGCAGCAACTACTAGGGCTGCCTGCAGCCTCCGCTTTCCCCTGGCTGCGAACGCGCATCCCGCTTGCACTATGCGGGGCAGGGAGCTGCCAGGGCTCGAGTCGCGCATCCGCCCAAGGTTCTGGCTCAGCGTTCCATCCATGGAGCGCTGCAACACACAAGGTTCTGCGGGAGGGGGCTGCCAAGCGCTGATTGGTGGTTTGAGAGGGAGGGGTGGAGCGAGCGTTCTAACGCGTAGCCCAGCGTGGGCGTGTCCTGCGGCTGCGATAGTGGGGGGTGCTGGAGCGCACTTGGGGTCAGATCTGTCTTCCCCTTCAGCTAAGTCAGTAACAACCTTGTAGGTGGTGCCCTAATTCTGCCCTCACTTGCCCTCAGAATTTGCCCCCTGCCAACATTGGGATAAAAATTGTGTGGGGGTGGGGACCAGGATGAAAACATGAACATAAGAATGGCCATACTGGGTCAGACCAAAGGTCCATCTAGCCCAATATCCTGTCTTCCGACAGTGGCCAATGCCAGGTGCCCCAGAAAGAATGAACAGAACAGGTAATCATCAAGTGATTCATCCCGTCACCCATTCCCAGCTTCTGGCAAAGAGAGGCTAGGGACACCATGGGGGAAGGGAACAGCAGCAAAGTCTAAAGTATGGAGATGGGCCCAGAGGGGACAAAAATTTGGGGAGAGGGGAATGGGGCAAAATGGGTCTTGTACTCACAAGCACCTTTCCTCCTATTTTGCCCTATTTCCTCCTACACATGCCCGCTACTCAGGGCTGTGGTGTATCTAGTATCTATCTAGCCAAAACTGAGATATGCCGTCTCTTCTCTACCAGAAAAGATACAAACAGCTGTCCACTAGAGCAGGAGTTCTCAACCTTTTTCTTCCTGAGGCCCCCTCAACATGCTATAAAACTCCATGGCCCACATGTGCCACAACAGCTGTTTTTTCTGCATATAAAAGCCAGGGCCGACATTAGAGCGTAGTAAACAGGGCAGTTGCCTGGGGCTCCACACCACAGGGAGTCCCCCCGAAGCTACATTGTTCAGGCTTCGACTTCAACCCGTGGTGATGGGGCTCCAGGCTTCAGACCCCTGTCGTGGGGCTTTGGCTTTCCACTCTGGGCCCCAGTGAATCTAACGCTGGCCCTATTTGGTGGCCCCCCCCGAAGCCTGCTCGTGGCCTTCCCTGGTTGAGAACCACTGCACTAGAGGTGTAACTGTGTGTGTGTGGTGGGGTCATCTCTCAATCATAAGTGTTGCTATATCAGTAACTATTGTCACACAGAGATCCTCTGATCACAGAAGAAAACCAACCAACCAACCCTTAAGTACATTTCAGAGTTGTGTACAAATCTATATTTCTTGTGCTTTATAAAAACAGGGATCAGGCCCTTATTGGTATGTGTGCCCTGCTCCTACCCGTACAGTAGCTTCTGGTTGACACAAACTTTCCATTCAAGGAAGCAAAAATGAAGATTCTTTGTTATCAAGGCTCTTAGAACAGTTCTTTTTTTTTGGCCTTCACAACATCCTCTGACAAAGAGTTCCCCAGGTTGACTGTGCGTTGTGTGAAGAAATACTTCCTTTTCTTTGTTTTAAACCTGCTGCCTATTAATTTCATTTTGTGCGCCCTAGTTCTTGTGTTATGAGGAGTAAATAACACTTCCTTATTTACTTTCTCCACACCAGTCATGATATTATAGACCTCTTATCATATCTCCCCTTAGTCGTCTCTTTTCCATGCTGAAAAGTCCCAGTCTTATTAATCTCTCTTCATATGGAAGCTGTTCCATACCCCTAATCATTTTTGTTGCCCTTTTCTGAACTTTTTCCAATTCCAATATATCTTTTTTGAGATGGGGCAACCAGATTTGCACACAGTATTCAAGATGTGGGTGTAACGTGGATTTATATAGAGGCAACATGATATTTTCTGTCTTATTATCTACCCCTTTCCTAATGATTCTCTTTCTTGAGTGGTAACAGCTAATTTAGACCCCATGATTTTATATGTATAGTTGGGATTATATTTTCCAATGTGCATTATTTTGTATTTATCAACACTGAATTTAATCTGCCATTTTGTTGCCCAGTTACCCAGTTTTGTGGGACTGACAGTTGGAGCGAAGGGGCTCCAGCTGTTAGCCCCCAGCACTGGGGCTCTGGCTGTGAGCCCTACATACACTGACCCACTTAAGCTGGTGCAAGCGCTCCTGGTGAGGAAACATGCCACTGTGAGAAAGAGGTAGTGTGGACATGAAAAACTGCAGTATTTACTGTGGTGGCTGTATGTCGACCAAATTTAGATCGACTTAAGTTTGTAATGTAGACAAGGCCTTAGTGTAACTTGTTTATTTACGCTATATATACCAATCCTTGAACAGAGAGGTTACAAACAGCACACAAGCTCCTTCAGGGATCCCAGCCCAGAAAGCAATGCCCAGTTCCCAGGAAGCAACTCTGCCGGAATTGACTCAAGCTAGAGCATTTAAAGAGAAAACTCTCTTGCTGCTTTCAACAGCTTCCCAGCAAAAGTGACATCATCAAAATAAGTGCAATGCAGTGTTCCTTCAAAGACAGCATGCTATTCGTGTACTAAAAAAAATAATTTGTAAGACTACATGTAACAGGTGACTCCTGCCATAATATATGTAGCTAAGAAAAAGTAATAAGTGCATTGCTAAAAGAATTCTACCCTCAGCTGACAAATATATTAACTGATAATGTTTCCCCAATATTGTTGTCTCTCGGAAGAAAATGTTTAGCTACTGAAGTAAAGATTTCAAAGATAATACTTGAGCAAGGCCAGGATTTCAGTCACAAATTCAATATAGCACTGTCTATCCAGGTACACCTCTACCCCAATATAACGCAACCCGATATAACACAAATTCGGATATAATGCGGTAAAGCAGTGCTACGGGGCGGATCAAAGCAAGTTCGATATAACGTGGTTTCACCTATAACGCGGTAAGATTTTTTGGCTCCCGAGGACAGCGTTATATCGGGGTAGAGGTGTACATATATAGTTCCCATCACCATAGTATGTGAGTACCTCACAATCCTTAGTGTATTTATCTTCACAACACTCATGTGAGGTAAAGAAGTGCATCCCTGGGGAATTGAGGCCTAGAGAGACTAAGGCGCAGATTCAAAGGTATTTAGGCCCTAATTTCTGCTGAAATCAGTGGAAGTTAGAATCCTAGAGACCTATGTGGATCTGGGCCTAAGGGACTTACAAGCATGGGTGGCGTGTGAAGCCCCTCTTTGGGAAGGCTAGCCCCTGGCCCCACCCCTTCTGCCCGAGGCCCCTTCCCTCCCCTGCGGGAGCCCCGAGCCCCCACCGCGGCTGGAGGAGTCCCGCCCCAGCTGGCCCGAGTCCTGGGCGGCCTAGCCCCAGAGCACCATGAGTGCCTGATGGTCCCAGCCCCAGAGTGCTGGGTGGCCCCAGTGCCAGGCAGCCCCAGCCCCAACCGGCTGGCCCAAGCACCGGCCCCAGCCGCCCTGAGTCCCAGCCGCTGGCTGGCTCACCTTAGCCCCAGCCCCAGCCCCCGTTTGCTTTGGGGGAGAGGCTAAGCGAGGGCAGGAAGAGGAGCAACCTGGGCTGGGGCCGGGGGGAAGAGCGGGAAACAAGAGGGGGCCTCTGGATGGAGCATGGGCAGTACTGCGCCTGGCTGTCTGGCCTGCCATACCCGTCGCCCGTCTCCAGGTTCCCCAGGAAGTCTATGGCAGAGCAGAGAATTGAATTCAGGTCTCCCAAATCCCAGCCTAGTAGCCTAACCACTGAGCCATCCTTCCTGAATTTTGCCTTGTTTTCCATTAGCTAATGAGTTAACAGCAAAAAGCCTGAGCTCCTACGGCCTGGGTGAGGTATAGAAGTTCTGAGAGCTTCCCCTGGTAGCTGGCTGTAGTGTGACTAGGCAGTTAATTATGTCTGGCCTACAAATTTGGAAATGCCATGTTCAGTTCCCCATCTGACGTTACACAAGTATCAACACCAGTAATATCTCTGTATTGCTCTTCAAAGGGTCTACTGCTGTTCCTATTAAAGTCAATGAGAGAGGACCCCACTTGGCAAAGCACTTAAGTGCATGCTTAACTTTAAGCATGTGCATAAATTCCATTGAAGTAAATAGCACTTTGCTGATTAAGGATGGAGTTAGAGCACATGCTTAAAGGTAAGCACGTGTTTCAGTGCTTTGCTGAATCAGGGCTGAAATGACCATTGACTCTGATGTTATCAGGCTCAGCCCCTGCGCTCGCTGTCACTAGGCACTCAAGAAGTGTAAGTTGCACCCACACCAAACTGCCCATGACAAGACTGGGGAGCCCCTGAGAAGTCCTGATGGTGTATGGTACAGCAGTGTGGTAAGGCATGCTGGAAGAGTGCAGCTCATGAAGGGTAAGGCAAGAATGGCAACAATCCCTTTATCGTTTGGTTTAGTAATTTATTTCTTCCATTTCCCTCCTCTCTCTTTTTCTTTGTGTGTCTGTGTGTGGAGGGGTTGTTAGTTTTGCCAGCTGCAAATGTGCACCAATTCTAATTGGCCAGTTGTTATTGCAGGCTCTGCTTTCATGTGATAGCTTAAAAAAAGCAACTTGAATGCTCTCCTTCTTGTCCTCCTTGCCTTCTCCTCTGTCATCTGACCCACCCCTTATGATCTCTCTCCAGCAAACAGTTTGCCTTTCTTGCATGGTCAGAACTGGAAATAATTTATTGCCACAACACTTATTTCCATCATTGACTGAGCGCGTTTTAATCATGTGGTGGTCTTTGCTCTGTAGTTTCCTCCCCACTCCGCCATATATTCTGCTGATCCAGGGTGCTCTGTTTCTAGTAAAAGAAGAAAACAAGAGACAATCACTGCTTGAATGCTGTCGAACAAATG